ATGGAGAACATTAGTTTTCCATTCATCCTATCATGTATCATTTCATTACCATGGTTACAATCCCCTGCATGCATCATCAACCAACCAAAGGGTATACCCTGCAAGCCTGTCCCCCCAGTCAGCAGCACACAGCCTCTCTCCCTCTCTGTGTCTAAAGTCCCCAACTGCTCCATCCCTCCACGTCATCATCTCTTCCTCCATCTCTGGCATCGCTGCTTCTCTGGGTAAGGTCCCGCTCTTCACTCTTCCCCCTTGTTGGTCCCAGGGACCTCCATTCCTAGACTGCAGTCAATCACTCCCCTCCTTTTGCTACAAAATGTCTACTTTTACATTGCCAACTATCACAATCAGTCCTGATAACAATTATTCACTATTATATCACAAGAGACCCATCTGCATCTTCTTTCATCAGCTCTGCCCAGACAGATTGGATACTACTCAATGGAGATTCTACCGTACCACCACCCATTTTTCAATCTCACAGTTCTGTATGTCAGAAGTCTAAGCAGGCTTGACAAGGTCTCTCAAGGCCAGGAACAGTGTTGGCTGAGCTGGGTTCTTATCTGGAAGCTCTGGAGAAGATTCTACTTTCAAGGCCATTCAGGTAGTTGGCTGAATTCCATTCTTGTGACTGTAGGGCTGAGGTGTCCATTTTCTCAGCAGCCAGCAGAGGCCTCTTCTGCATTCCTTCTCCCGTGGTCCCCTTCCATCTGTGTCCTGCTGTCAATCTTGGACTTTGGTTATTACCAGTCTGAGGAAACGGCTTTTAAAGGACTTACATGATTAGATCCAGTCCATTGAGATAATCTCCCTTTTGCTATATAACATATTAAGCAGGCATCATATTCACAAGTTCAGCCTCCACTCAAAGGAGTAGGACAGTATACAAGGCTGAGGACCACTAGGGGTCATTCTTACATTTCTGCCTACCACAAGTACATACTACTCATTAGCGCAATCTCTCTAAATATGCTGTTTTCCTATAACCCATTTCTGGAAAGGGCAGAATTATTGGGGAACTTTTTTCTATTAATGACATTTAAAAGAAACCATCAGTTGCTGATGGTTTAAAATAACTATTCCTACTAATTTATTTACTAGTGAAATCCTTGATTTGAAAAACTATCCCTTTGTTCAAAGTTATTCCCAACGGTTGTGAATCTATATACACATACTCAGTGTCTATAGCTGGGTAATTCAATTGCATTAAATTTTCCCAAAGTTTTTCTATCACACTAGCTCAAACTGGTAAGCTTTTCTGGCTCCTAAATAAGGTAGAATGTATGCTATGGACAATGCATGAGACTGGAGACTAAAATGAGAAATCTTTAATCTCAGAATCCTAGAAATAAGACTCAACCTTTCTTCTCATCCAAGTTACTCATCACCATTTGCATTATGGTGTATTTTCTGCATGGAGTCTTTGTGTGGCACTGTGGGTTAAATGCGCTGGACTGCAAAGTTGCTTTGAACCGCAAGGTTGGTGAGTCAAGCTCACCAGCTGCTCCTCAGAAACGCTACACAGGGTCTCTATGGGTTGGAACCGACTTGACTGCACTTAACAGCAATATACAATTGCACAAATGCTCTTAACCTCCTAATGAGAATTCCGGCTTCTAAAATGTCCACTTATCAGCACTTTGGAATTGTGCTATGTTACAGAACTTTCTGTAATGATGGAATATTCTACTTCTGTGCTGTCCAATACAATGGCCACTAGCTACAGGCAACTACTGAGCACTTGAAATGTAGCTTGTGTGACCTAGGACCTGAATTTATTAATTTAAATTTACACAGCCACCATCTGGCCAGTGGCTACTGTGCTGAGATCTGGAGTGATCTTTGTGTGAAATACATACCAGATGCCAAATTATGTCCTGTTTTCATATATTACTAGTCCCATCTTTTTGACTTTTTTCCCCCCCTACTAGATATTTTGGTGACTGTGTGATTAAGTGTCCTCAAGGTGAAGTATTTATTTGCCCTTGGTGCCTGGTAGTGGGCACCTCTCCTCCAGTCTCTATTCCTGAGCCGCTACTACTCCCTATCACCTTTCTGAAGGGACGCCACCAGTTTTTTCCTTGAGCAAAGCCTGGCTGCTTCTGTCTTGTGTCTAGAACTGGTGAGAAAGGGGGCAGCAACTAATGAGTTGTTGCAGTTAAGTGCCACTGAGTTGGTTCCAACCCATAGGAGGAATAGCTGGTGGGTTTGAACTGCGGATCTTGTGGTTCAAATTGACCTGAGGGTCCAGTGCATTATCCTGCAGCACCACACCCAGACTCCAACAATGAGTAGATGACAGTAAGTATGAGTGTAGGCATGCCCTTGAGGCACTTGGAGTTTGATCAGAGAAACAACACATACAAAAATGCCACAAATGAAAAAAAAAAATTCAGAAAATTGAATGTGTATGTAAGTGTGTGACGAGGACGATTGACTGTAAGTTGGAACAGCTGGGCCACTTACCCAGACATTGCTGGGCACTATTCTAGGTACTACCAGGGCACTGGTGAAGAACTCATGGGGAGGAGAACACCAGAAGGTCCACTTTGTTGCCCTCTTAGGAACAGGAGGGAGGTTAAAGAACAGCATGAGCATCTAGGAGGGGACACTGCATAAAACCAGAAAAATTTGGCTAGACAAGACAATCTTCAAGAAGCCATTCAAATAGCAAGGAGCAGCAACAACTTGGGAAGCAGGGGAACACTTTGAAACCTACCTCCAGAGATTTTACCCTTGTGTTACTCAGTTGTTTTAGCCAAACTCTAGTATGTTATGCTAAGTAAGGAGCCCTGGTAGCGTAGTGAATTACAAGCTGGGCGGCTAACTGTAAGGTCAGTAGTTTGAATTTACCTGTAGCTCCACAGGTGAAGGATGAGGCTTTCTGCTCCCATAAAGATTTAACAGCCTTGGAAACCCTGTACAGGGCCGCGAAGAGTTGAGACCGATTCCACAGCTCACCACCATTACTAGTATGCTATGTTGATGCCAAAAGATTATTTTTCTTTTCAAATGAAATTGGCTTGTTTGAAGAGAATAAAAAATACAAAAGTAAGGAAATGAAAAACCCCCAATTGTTAACTGGATTTTGATTGACAGAAATCCTTTATGGCAGTGTGTGAGTTTTAACCAAGAAAGTACAAATGATTACAATTCAGAGTAAAAAGGAAAGAACTGACCTGTCCCACGGTTTACGAATTTTCTGCCCTTCTTAGCATTGCACCAGAAATGGTGTCGTTTGGTGCCACTGGTCGAGTGCACTGCGTAACTAGATGAAGAGCCTCCAGGCTGAAGGCAGCCCGCTGAAACCAGCCAGAACACACTGAGGTACGCCAATATGTCAACATACACTAAGCTGGGAAGCTCAAACATTGATAATTCATAATTAAAAAAACCCAAAACTTTTGTAAAGATCTCTGATTGCTGAGGCTGATAATATGAGGGCTTCAAAAATTTTGTGGAAACATGGAATTAAAAGATAATGGCATCTTTCCATGAATTTTTTTGAAGCTCCCTCATATGCTTTGCTTATAATACTACTACTATTATTTGTGATTGCAGGATTAAGAGTAATAAATACTCTCTTCAGACATGAGGTTTGCTTATAAGCCCATAATGGGATGGAATCATTATTTTGGAAAACATACAATTGCTACAATATCTTTCACCAAAAACCAATATTACAACTTTATTTTTCTTTAAAAGTATACTAGTTATCTTATGACTCATACAACAAACAGCATTGCCTAGAAAACATTTTTCAGACTCATGAGTGCAGGTATAAAAGAACCAGCAAGAAAAGAGAGAATGCATCTAATTCATGATTAAAGATTAAAAAGGGGAGAGGGTTTTGTCATTTTACATCACAGAGGGAAACATGATGAGTGAAGTCTAATGAAGTCTGAATGCATCACACCTGTACACCGAAATGTATTAGACCGGTTTTTGGTGGTTATCCACCATACACAGTATGGCAGAATAACCCTCAAGAATGACATGGGTCTTTAAAATCTTGGCTTATAAGGAATGACAAATGCCTCTGAAAACATTTTGTTCAGAATCACTGATTTATAAAAGTACTTCAGTTAGGAAATCAATCTAGAATCATTCTTAAATGGCAGTGCATTTGAAAAATGGCATTAAGTTGTAATGTTTGCATTTCCAAAAAAAAATATAGAAAGAACTTAAAAAAGCAAGGTTAACTGGTTTTCAAAAAAAGCATCGATTCAAAAATTTACTGCACAAAAATATGTACTTCTTAAGTGTTTCTAATAAATTAACTCCATAACATTTTATGTATATTTATAGCTTTATATATATAATCCCTGAAAATCCAGAAAAGAGGGTCTATAATAGTAAAATAAATGAACTTCAAAAGTACCCCCTTCATAAAATGTATTTAACCTTAATTTTTTCCCCAAATTTAAGGAATGTAACAATATGTACAACTCTTATGTATTAGTATAATACCAAAATAGTACAAGTCATATTAACAGGCTGCCATAACTGTAAAATGTTTGAGTCAAGTTAAAATTGGAGGACAGCTTAGGTTCAAATGAATACAATTATCCACGGGAGATTCACTTTCCAAGTGGAAATGACAATCTTCTTATCTACAGTAGATTTCACAAGAGGTAGTGTTCAAGTCAAAAAAAACAAACATGCGTAACTATATTTAACAAATTCACAGGAAAAAATGTACTGGTTTCTTAGATGATTAGTTGGTGAGTTTTTTAATATGAATCTGAAACAGAAAAGAATGAAAAGTGAGAAAGCAGTAAATTCTCCATTCCAAAAAGATCTAGACCACTGGATAAAAACATTACAAACACTGTAGTTATCTCAGGCATGTCTTTCATTCAACACACTGTCTTACCTCATTAAGAATAGCCCAAACAGCAGAGTTATGAATAACTGAAAGTCGAAAAGCTGAAATGGGGTTTAGATTCGGATCCACCATTCCTTCTGCAACACCATTCTCAAATTTCCCTTTAAAGAAAAAATATCACTTGTTGGACTGAGACAGGTACACATAAAATATCTAGCACTCACTTGAAATACACAAGAAAAACCTACTGCCATCAAGTCGATTCTGACTCATGGCAACCCTGTGGGACAACGTAGAGGCAGGACTCAAAGACTTCTGGAGGCTCTCTTCAGTGATGCAGGGGTGTTTTTCCCGCTTTCTACTTTTATGCAACTTAACTAATTTTTCATGAAGGAATGCATGCCTTGAAATATTGGAAATGACCTATTCAAATAGGCAGTAGTTGTTGTTATGTGCTGTGGAGTCAGTTCCGACTCATAGCGACCCTGTACAGGGTTTCCGAGGCTGTAAATCTTTATGGGAGCAGAAAGCCTCATCTTTCTCCCGCAGAACAGCTGGTAGTTTTGAACTGCTGACCTTGTCGTTCGATAGGTAGAGATACATAAAATTAACAAAACATACTTGTTCTTATATTAACAATGATTCAACATAAGGATTTTCAGTAAAATGGGATACATCTATACCCTACTGAAATATAATCTACATTGATTGCTTTGGGAGTTAAGTCAATAACAACCCATAGCAATGTGTTAACTAGACACACCTACAGGGGCTGGTCAAGCGTACATCAAAGAAGAATTAAGAAGTGAGGTCATTCTAAACAGTTTCAATATAAAACTACCTGAAAATGGTAAGCAAGAAAAAAAGTTCTCCTATAAGAGTAAGAACCAAGGGATCCAATTTTTTGTTGTGAGGAATAACCATTTTAAAACTAATCATCCAACTAGCCAAATAAGCAAAAATATCGATGCTGCCAAATAAAATGACAGGAAAAAGTTCACTCTGGACATCATTTCTTTATACCAGAGGTTTGTGACATTTTCCTGTAAAAGGGCAGTTAGTAAGTATTTTGGGATTTGTAAGTCAAAAGGAAAAATCAAGACTACTAGATAAATACAGTATATGTTATTGTTATGTGTCACAAGGTTTCCAAGGGGCAATGGGCCAGCTTGAACCATTGACGTTGCCTGTTATCAGTCTAGTGCTTATCCTACAGTGCCACACCAGGACTCCAGTATATAGCCAGAGAAAAAACAAATTTCCACAGTTTTTTTAAAATTAATAAAATTAAAGATATAATAACAATTGAGTATATTTCTTTGTAAAAGTTGTTTACTAAGGAGAATAATGTAGTCCTAGTGTGGCACTAGATAAGCACTAGACTGCAAGGTCAGTTTGAATTGCAAGTTCAGTGGTTTGAACTCACCATCTGCTCCTCAGAAACCCTATACAGCAGCACTGGGGAACGTTGGCCCGTGGGTCATATAAGACCCTCAAAATCATTTGGCCTGGCCCTGCCAAGGCAACCGTAGTTCCAACCATCACATTGTTGTTGTTAAGTACTGTAATGTTGAGTTCTGACTCATACGAACCTGGTACAGGGTTTCCTAGGAGCGGCTGGTGAGCTTGAACTACTGACCTTGCAATTCAAACCAACTGTGCAGTCCAGTGTATTAACCCACAGTGCCACACCAGGACTCCAACCATCACGTTATTGTTGTTAAGTGCCATTGAGTTGACTCCTACCCTTCGCAACCCTTTATAGGGTTTCCAAAGAGTGACTGGTGAGCTTGAACCACTGACCTTGCAGTTCAAACTGACTTTGCAATCCATTGCATTAACCCACAGAACCACACCAGGACTCCAGCCATCACATTTGTTGTTGTTGTTAAGTGCCGTCGAGTAGGTTCCGACCCATAGTGTCCCTATACAGGGTTTCCGAGAAGCAACTGGTGAGCTTGAACCGCTGACCTTGCAGTTCAAACGGCTTTGCAGTCTGGCTCATTAATCCACAGCGCCACACCAGGACTCCGCAACCATCACATTAGGGGTGAGCTAATTGTTTGACCGAATATAGCAGGCTAATTTTTAAGTTGATAATGTTGTATGGCCTGTAAATGATGTTACCAATTTTGCAGAAAAAGTTTTCCCACCCGTGCTATACAGGGTCACTGTGAGTCAGAACCTATTCAACAACACTTAACAACAACAGCAAGAATGAATGTAACTCATTGTTCTTTAAGGTAAGATTTCACTTAATTGGGGTTCAAAGGTAGTGTTTCCTGTCATCAAAATTGATTGTAAATGTTCAACTATTAATGCTGACCCACAGTAGGGGTGAGTTACATTATATGAGATTTTATATATTTTTGTCGTTTCACATAACTAGGTACTTACTATAGAATACTGGTATCAATCTCTATAAGCACAAGATTTTAATTGAGCACATGCATCATTTGGAAGATATTTGTAAAACTCTATTGTATTTTTCTCTTGATATTCGCCTTTTAGATGAACAACTTTTAACTGAGATGAGGTAGATGCTTCTCAATTGCACAGTTGACAGAATTTTGAAATATGGAAATTTCTTTTTCACTTGCATTGATGTCTGAAAACACTGCTGGAACTGTAGTTTGAGCTTCGATAATGTATCCACCGAAAATCTGTGTAAGGACTGAGCTCTTTCTGTTTTAAGTGTAACAATACAGGAAGTGTACGAAACAACTTGATATTACTTGTTCAAGGTAAGGTTGTCATCAAAGTGAATTCACTGTAATATAAGTTTTGCAAAATAAGCACTGTTTTGGCCTTGAATTTAAGTTCAATTAATTAAGAAATGTTGTCAAGTCAGAAATTTGAGCTGAAAAATCTCACAGTAAGACTAACACTGCTAAGCTATTGAACTGCTGTGTGGTAGAACAAGTCAGAATATTCAGTTTCTACTGTGAAAAACTTCACAGAACTGTCAATACTTGTTATTCTGGTCTACACATATTTTCACGACCATCTGATTATCTGGTTTAACTACACATCTTAGCGGATTCTACTTCATATTGCACTGAACTTGTTTCTTGACTTGTTTGAAGCTGTGTTGCCTGTAGTTGTTCCACACACAGTTTCCATAGAAGTCAATCCCTCAGTCACTTTAAACTGGGAGACTAAGCAGTATTAGTAGTATCTGGTAGCTCATCAGCAGGCAAGGAAACTATTCAAAATACTTTGGTTAGCTTTAAAAAACGTTTTTATTGTTTTGTTGTTAAGTGCCTTTGGTGTGGTTCTGATTCATAGCAACGCTGTAAAGTGTTTCCAAGGAGTAGTTGGTGGGTTTGAACCACTGACCTTGCAGCTAGCAGTCCAGTGCTTAACCTACAGTACCATATCAGGAATAAGAAAAACCGCAGAAGAATTGATGCATTTGAATAATGGTGTTGGAGAAGAATATTAAAAGCACATGGACTGACCACGCTGGTCACCGATAAGGGGAAGTGAGGGAAAAACAGCAATGAAGTGG